GAGTCTATATATATATTGTGACAATTCATTTGCAGGTTACAAGTAGCAACTCCTTTATAACAAATCAAAAAGAAAAGAAGAACAAAAACATACAAAATGGGATTGCTTTAACCCTGGGCATTCGAGGACTCCCCAGTGTGCACCCCTAGTCCTTTCGGCGCCAGCGGGTCTCGGTAAGCAGACCCCTCCTCGCTCTCAGAATCTGAGAGAAACTTCCTAAATTCCTCCATGTTTTGCCACTTAGAATCCACCAACTTGTGCTTCACAAACTTCTCAATCGTGAGAGAAGTACCGACTACAGTCTGGCGAGAAAGACCCTTGTCATACGCCTCCCTGGTGACCATTGAAGACATTTTTTTCTTTTAACTCTTTATTTTCCTTCAGAAGAGCCGCCATCTCTTGCTCATCTCGTTGGGCATCTATTTGCCATTTCTCGAGAGAAATCTTCTATTTCTCTTCCGCCATAGAAAGTTTCTGCTTCAAATTCCAAACCCTCAGGGCATACCTCCCGATGTCCTCTTCGGCTTTGCCAGGCAAATGATAAAGGTCGACTGATTAGAAGATGTCCCTTCTATCCATCGACCTCAAGTTCTTCTCGAAGGCACGAGAACAAAACATGTCAATCCCTTCTATTTTAAACATTAGCACCTAACAGCGACAAGCTCCGCGAGGGATGTCTAGTTATCGTCTGTGGCCTATGGGACGTTTTGACTCCCGACAATGACAACCTCCGCGAGGGGTATGCGAACGATCGTCCTGCGCTCTATTTTAAACGTTAGCACCCGACAGCGACAAGCTCCGCCTAATGTCTGTGGTCTATCGACACTCGACGGTGACAAGCTCTGTGAGTGGTGTGCGAACGATCGTCCTGCGCTCTACTTTAAGCGTTAGCACACGACAGATACAAGCTCCGTGAGGGGTATGTAACTATCACTTGTGGCCTATGAGACTAAGCGATCGTTTTCGCTGTTAATACATAAACTCGCCGCCCAGTTTGAAAAGGTCATTCTGACTGTCCGTAGGCTGAGCGGCGAGGGCCTCTCTAGCGGCCGACAACTTCGAACATTGACATGTAACTTCCCCCACGGTTGGCAAGCATCTCCCCACGAAAATCCACGAGTTCCTGGCACAGTCCAACAACTTTCCTCTCCACCCGGTCAACCCTCTCAAGAACCTCGGTGATCCTTCTGTCACCGTCTCTCCAAGGGTACCCCATGAAATGCAGGAAACGCTCCTCCATCTCATTAGACAGTGAAGAATTAAATTAGAAAACACACGACACCCTATCGTCACCTCCTCCTTTCTCGCGACACCAGAGAAAACTTGACGACCCGCACCCTGCCTTCCAGCACCCGGATCCTCGGCATCCCGCTCAGCACCTTGCTCCAGTGCACTCAGTTCTGCCATATCTACTCCAACGACAATGTGTCCCATGTTCGTCCCCTCAATTGCAGCCTGTTCCACACTCGTCGCGTCATCTTCATGGCTAACGTCGATATCTGTTGATGCAGAGTCGATATTCAGGACCTCAGTTGCTGCAAAGAGAGATGCAAAAAACTATTCAAATTACATACCAAGAATCTGCTCTCATTTAGATATGGTATAAGAGAAAATGTGCTCACCGGCCTTTTCTTGTCCACCCTCAGAAGAGAAACCGCTCCTATTCAATCGAAGCCATGTCCCTATCATAGTTGTAGAGCGCCTGTAAATTCTATTGAGGTTTTTGTGTGCTAGCTAGTTGTGCTATGAACAACCTCTTGAATTCTCCAAAAATGATTCTCTTTCCCAATGAGAGCTTATTGAACCATCAGAAGGTGAACTTCTTCACGGTCATCAAAAAGAATTGGTAGTTTAGTGCATCCTTTTTTTCTTAAGTTGGCATACTGTCGATTTAAGAGAAGCGAAGTGATTACACGGGTTGGATTTCCCTCGATAGGGCTCTATAGTTGGGATCTTCAAGCGCTTGTACGCTTCGGGTTTGGAGATTTGTCTGGAGAAAGAATTCTCTGGTGGAATAGGCCATGGGGTATTGATGTGCCCTTGCCTGTTGTGGACAAAGGGGTGCTGATCATACGCAATATGGGTAATACGTTTTGTTGCTCGCACTTAGACCTCGTGATAGGGCTCTCCTTTGGCATTTAGGGGTCGAAAGTGTCTCCCTAATTACTTCCATCATCTGCTCTTTGAGGTCACGAATTTTTTCAAAACCACTGGTGCATTCCATGTCGCCTAAGATCTAGCAATGACTTTCTTCTCATTGTACTGCTCATCTTGTTTGTGGCATGATCTACACTCACCGCACATTTTCAGGGTGTTGAACCTAAACTTGCCTTTGGATCACACACAAATATTAGAGCGTAAACCAAGAGAAAAAAGATGTTTTTAAGGATGGAGGAGCTAGATGAAAGATATCTGGGATCATGAAAATTTTCTCGAGTTGAGAATTCTTTCTTTTATAAAAAAAAAATTGATCGTGACTTACATTCAGTTTCTTCTATTAATAGTGGTTTGGCTTTTGTTAAAAGACATATTTGGACCTAATCTACGTTAGATCCTTAGGCGTGAGTCCCTCAAATTCCTGTTACCTTTGTCTTATCATGACTTGGGTCCTAGAAGATGTCGACTTCTGGTTGGGTCGCTAAGATGCGAGGTTGAAACATCTGCAACTGAGTGATTATCTTCTAGCATTAGCTACAAATGCTTGGCTTTATCTGCTCATCCAAATCCCAAAATGTTCCCCTTGGGTCACTAGGCTTTTGGCACTTGACCTCGGGCAACTGGCCTGGCCTTGAACACCCAACTTAGGTCACTCGGCTTGGGTCACCTGACTTCGGTCCTTCAGCCTCGGGTGCGCTTCTCTGGCTATAGTAGCTGCCTTTAGTTGCCCATTTTATTACTTTCACTAATCTGAAAAAGGATTCCACCAATTGATGGGTTTGAGTCGTCTAATTTTTTAGAGTAGGGACTGTCTGATTATTGATGATTTGGACATTCATTTTTTGGCTATACAAAATGAAATACTTGAATTTGATGATTTAAATGCATTTTAGGAGACATTTTGAAGAGGTAGCTTATGACGGTGGAGTTGTCAAAGATATAACATCTGGGAATGAAATTTTAATTTGCTTAATTTTAAAATACATTACTTATTCAGTATTTGAGATTTTATGTTTTGAAAGGACAACTTTTGAGCATTGAATTCATCAGACAATGGTATATCATGTATGTTTAATTATGATTTATTAATTTTTCATATTTTTTTTTTATTGAATGGTGTCTATTATATTTTGTAATATATTTGTGCAATCGAATTTTAAGTATTACTCATATCTCATATCTAGATGGTATTAATTTGTTCTCATCATTAAATGGTACTAATTTGTTCTCATCATTAATTATTTTTTAAAGAATCAATTTCTAAAGATAGAGGACAAAATTATTCAAAGGATCAAGAGTTACAAAAAGGAGAGGTCAATCATTTAAATAGTAAGGTGCTAATTCATATTTTAGAATAGATTTTGTACAATATACATGTTATATTATTATTACATCGTTTATGCCATATTTAAATAAATTTATAATTTATTATGATATCTGGTTGAATACCCGATTTAATCTAGTTTCAACCTTTGAATCTTGAACCTCATCTTTTACAGGTTCAATGCCCAACTGAGTTTCAAATCCTTTGTCAAGAGGTAGAAAGTTGTTCAACTTTTAAGATTGATTGAAATTACATTGGGGTGAAATTTTTACATTGCATATTCTTTTGAGAATTCTCTAGTATCTTCTCTGAGGCTGGGCCAAATTATTCCTGCTTTATGATTCAATATGTTGATATTCTTTGTTCATAATGACTCACATTTTCTTGATTGAACTTCTTCCAAAATATTTTTGATCCCATCATCCCTCACACATCTCAAGCTGTTGGTTTTAATCATAGTTTGAATGGCCTCCATTGATGATTGGGTACTTTGTAACTTTGATTATGAATCTTCTCTTGTCCGTAGCGATCAATCCATCTTGCATATTATGGGTTTTTGTGGTTTATGATGTTGAAAAAAGTAAACTTGCTGATGGTTATGACATATTTATGAATTATTTCTATTTTTATGCGATTTTTTTATTATTTATTTTTTATCTATATTAGTTTTTAGGTTTTAAGCCTCAATCCACCTTAAGTCTTATGCCTGGCCTTGCTGAGGCAAAATATCTCTGCTCCTAAATTTACTGTTTTATACTTGGGTTTACTATTATGAAGTCGGCCATGACTGTATGTTATCTCTCATCATCTCAAGTGATGGGTAAAGTGATGATTCACTCTATATCTCTTCCTTTTCCGAAGAATTATAAAAGCATACCAACCATTGGTATTAGGCGGGAAGCACTGAAGTTCATTTCCCTAAAGTATTCTGAAGATAATGTTAACAGATCTTCCGATATCAATCAAGATTCTTTCAATTTGTTAGTTGGGGATTAGTATTGTGATGACTACAATTTTGTTAAATGGATTTCCATTTGTTGGCCTATTCCCCCTCAGTGAATGTGATAAGCGCACCTTAGTGTATGTCTTTTGAATGTTATTGCCAAGTTCACCTCTCCTATTCGATGTCACTTGAGGCTGGCCTAACAGCTTCAATTATAGTTGGCGCCAACTTAATTATTTCACCTGCTCGGTTTAAGAGTAGTTCATTACTTCACTCCTTCACGAGTCCTTGATTAGGTTCACTAAATTTTGGAAATCTTAATAATCTTTCTTGTCATGCTGATGATCTTTGTGGAATGCATAATATTTGTTAGGATCTCTGTTATAAGGCGTTGGCTCTCATGGGTGTAGGTCTCTTGAAGAAATCCTTGTTCTGTAGGGCATCTAAATGTTTGGCCATTAAGACCCACAATTGAGTGATTATTGATTATTGATGAAAAGGAGTTGACTTGTCCCTTATCTTCTTGTCTGGTTTCTTCATTAGTGTCAATTGTCTCTCTAGCTGTGGTGGCTTCTGATGATGGAATCAACAATTATATGGGATGCAACTTCTTATCTAGCCTCAAAATCCCTGGGGGACTTCCATCTTCCCATGTAACTGATTGGAAATTTTGCACCAGCTTGAAGATGAACAGGTATACAGTGATACTCGTTGACATTGATGTTGCTGTTGGTGAGTTCAAGCAACTCGGTCTATGTCCTCAACTATTTTAGAGTGAGAGCGTATATGAAAGGTCCCTCCCATAGGCTTTGAGTGAGACACTTGAGCCATTGCAAGATCCACATCTTTGGCTTTCAACATATACCTTTGAAACCTCGCGATGAAGTTTCTTAATGACTCTCTTAGCTTCTATCTTATTTTCAATGAACCTTGCAGATTCTTAAACAACATTTGATCATTTGTGAAATATGTAATTAACTTTTTTTAATTTAGCAAAAGATATTATTGTCCTTTGCAGAAGGCATGCTTACCATTTGAGAGGTCATTTGTTGAAAGTGTTTACGAATAAGCAGCACTTCAATGTGTCTTTGACGTCTAGTAGGGAGGTGGATCAGTGAAAGTAAGCCATATGGTTAACGAAATTCAATTTTCTTTTATAAAATTCGAGGCATTGGCTTTGCCTCCAAAATCTCCCTAAACAATATGTTGAACAACTAAGGCTTCCTCTTCTAAATTTGTCGGAGAGGGGGGTATACACTTTGCTACTGTCAAGTAACATGTTTCATTTAGCACTAGGGTTGAGATCAGAAATTTAGTACATTCTAGTTGTCTTCGAACTATTGAATTTGAGGAATTTTCTGGCATTTTTAAAATTGGAATGCTTCTGTGAACACACTACAACATTCTCAACATCATCCTTTGATCATTTCTTCCATATTTGTTAGTTGTTTGTTTGTTACAAATTGTTACAAAGTCCTGATTCTCAATGTTTATAGACCCTTTCTATTTTGTTGCTTTGTTTCTCATATTGTTTGGTTTTTGGTCCTTGGCTAATATTACTCTAAGCCTGGACACCAAACAGGATGTTGAATTTAGAATTATACTTGGCAATGTCAGATACTCTTTACCAAGATTCTAAAAATAAAAATCGAGCAATTAGTATAGATAGGGAAAAAGAAAGAGAGAGAAGAGAAACTCAAGACATTTATTAGATGACAGGAGTACAGACTTGAGTTTCCAAGTAGCTCTCTGGATTCCCTTTTTTCAAGATTAAGCTAGGGTTTTGACACTATAGGAAAAGCCACTTTTAAGCTATGTATATAAAAATTAAGAAAATACATATGAATGTTTATGTGGCGTGTAGCCTAAATTTTGTAAACGTGCGCATGGTCAATTGACTGCGTTTATCATTGGATGAAGCTGCGGACTGTCTAGCTGAAATTGTCAACACTTTGGATGAAATTCTCGACTTACTAAATGAAGTTGTTGACATTTTGGATGAAGTCATCGACTGCCTTGGTGATGTTACTGACTTATTAGAGAATGCCAACTTGTTGATTGAACTTGTAGTTTTTTCTGCCTAGATAAATAGCTTTGGGGGTCAGTTCAAGCAGAGCTAGCTAAGCTTCGAGTTGTGTTCTGTTTAATTTTGCAAGTTCATCACAAGCAAGATGAGATTTTAGGATATACACTAGTTTTTATCATATTTGAGTAAAGTGAAACACCAACTCAATTAACTGAGTGCAAGGAAAAAATTAGAAGTAAATAATTAAAAAAAAAATATCTCACTTATATCAGAAAATAACCTCTCTCGAAAATCTATAAATTTCTCTCTTGATCATGGAGTTCATTCTTGGAAGTAGAAGTAATAGTACATCTAATTAGAGGCTTATTCACAATGAAATTGTTTGTGTTTTTTACATGTCTCAGAATTTAATCATAAATCCTTTAAAAATCAAAATCCTTAATTCTAACAACAATGGAAATCACCGAGGCCGACTCCAAAGTCTTTATTATGTGATAACATAGAGAAATTTCTGCCAGAGCCAGTAAATATCAGAGCACCCATAGTTTGCATATTTTGTGCATTATAATTGCAGTTAGCGGTAAGATGATACCAACAGAATTGCACAAAGAAGCTTTTATACCTGTTGTTGAAGCAGGAATTACAAGAACATACAAGAAGCCTCCAATCAACTAGAGAAATAATACCATGGGAAGGAAGACCAGGGTGCACGAATGGAGAAGTAACACTGCTGGAAGAATAGAATGTAGAAGCCACAAGCTGCTGCTAAAACTATAGGAATAGAGAAATCAGAGCATTTCCAAAAGCCGCAAAAACTAAGGGTGCGTTTGGGGGAGCTTATTTACAGCGGTGGCGTCTTGAAAACGCCACCCGTTGTTTGAAAAATACGTTTATAAAAACTCTGTTCGCAATTTTACGTTAGACGCAGATCGCGGGCTCCTATCCGCGATCCGCGTTTCATTCGAGCGAAAGACAACTCTCGCCCTCTCCTTTTGCACGGATTGCTCGACATCCCCCCCGCCCCTTAGCCGGACTTCCTCGCACCCCCCCCCCCCCCCCTCCCCGCCTTCTCCTCTGCTGCAGGGATCTCTCGCAGGGATCTCTCGCGATCCCTTCTCTCCCGCCCTCGATGAAGAAAGCTGCGATGGCAACAAAGGGATCGTTCGCCTTCTCTCCCGCTCGCGACGAAGAATCCGCGATGGCAACGAAGGGATCGCTCGCTTTCTCTCCCGCGACGAAGAAATCGGATCGCTCGTTATAGAGACCACTGAAACTCTCATCTTTCTCATCCTTCCGCACCGCTCCGACCAACGTAAGTATCGCGCCCTACCTCATCTTCGTTCCTCTTTATTCCTCTTCATTCGTCCTATATAAAAATGCCCTTGTTCTTCCTCTTGTCTGCGATGCTCGGCCTCAAGAGCTTTTGTCAATAGCTATCCTTGTGAGTTCTCGTTGATTTCTACTTTTGCCCAACAAGCTCTTGCCCCCATGAGACACTGATCGCCCTACCCTGCCACTGTGAGGTCCAGTTGCGACTTTGCCCTCTTTGAGAGCTCCCATTGGTGCATATATCATGCCCTATGTTGTTTGTTTTTAGTTTGTATTAATTTTTACTACTTCAAACCAAACACAAGAATTCTAAATACTTGAATTCCAAATACATTGTATTCTAAATACATTTTAAAGTTCTCATGAATTTTCAATACTTTAACTGGTGAAGTAATCTAAATATCTAAATACCATTTCATTTATAGGTTCTGAAATATATCTGACCACAATCAGGGAGCTCTCTCTCTCATTTTTGGGGATGATGCTTGTCTCAAAATGTTGATAGAAATTGATTATTTTTAATTTGTCAACCATATTCCTTGAATTTATCAGCTCTGTGATTTGGTAATTTTTGTTGTTATTTATGTTTGATCTAAAAAGAACTGGGCATTTTAGTTGCAGACACTTGATTTCTTATGCATAGGGGTAATGCTATGAGCATAACATATGAAAAACACAAGTTTGTCTCAATTTCAGTTCCGGCCTAGTTCTATTATGTTTTAATATTTAGGAGACCATGCAGTTACCCCATCATTTTTCTTACCAAGAATTCCTTTTTTACATATGTAAATTGGAACTCATTCTGATCAATTTGTACCACACAACTTTCTTTAACATTTGATATAATAATTAATGCATTGAAGTTACAAATTCAAATTTATCTAAAATGTCAGTTTTAGCCACACCTTTGTTTTGAAAGAATTGAAGAAAATTGAATTAGTAATGGTTAAAATTTATTGTACTCTTGGAACTGTGATGGTATTGATATCTTTGACTTTACATAAAATTAATGATTTTTTTTTTTTGGCAATGTAATTCCCTTCTTTTAGGGTTATTTGAAATATATGTTCAATGGCCATGGGTAAATGATGCTAGTAAATTAAATTTTTATTTAGTCGTTACAGTTCTGTTACAAACAACAACATTGCATAGTGCCGGAACAGTCATTTACCAAAAAAAAAAAAAAAATGTAAATCTGTTGTTTTTAAAACGCACTAACTAAACAACTTTTTCAAATCAGGGGCAGATTTGTTATTTATCCAGAATCAGCTGTTTTCCAAACGCACAGACCAAACAACCAATCAGCTTTTCCGGATCAGCTGGTCATCAACAGATTATCAGGATAAGCTGTTTATCAGCATAAGCTGGATAAGCTGCAGCTGCCCCAAACAGATCCTAAATATACCTGCACATATCATGTTAGGATAACATCTTAGTCATTTACATGCATAGTTTTACTTAAATTAGAACTCCCAAGTTAAAATTGAAAAAAAAAAAAAAATCTAAATGCAATCAGAAGTTCTTTCAAACTGTTCCGACTTGATGTGCACAATTTTGGTTTTCAATTGAAGTTTTTAGATTTGAATCATTCTATTGTGTACTTCTATGCTAAAAAAATGTTACCCAGAAAGTTTGGAACATCCCTGAGTTTGTAAAACGATACGGTAAAATTAGTGGCTTACTATTTAATCAAGCTAATTGCTAGTTACATTTTAACTAATTGGATTAAAAAAAAATAGACGATGAAATACTATATTTTGAGTTGATGCTAATTGTACAAAAGTTTTTTGTGGTTGTATGAAATTACAGAATGTGTTGTCATCAAGGTTTGATGATGCACAATATATTTAATTTGGGAGTGAACCAGAAAAGGGATTTAGTCAGATACATCAATGCTCAAAATTCATTTTCATCGAAGCAGAACTGATCGTTGGATCAAGCTCAATCTCTTTAATACTGTAATATGACCTGGATTAAAGTAAGAATAAACTCAAAAACATGCGCCATGTTTATATTTGCTTCCCACCTCCAATGCTTGGGAATCTTCGCTCGGGGCTGCCATGTTTTCTTTTTCCCTGCCTGTATGAGCAAAAAAAGGACTCTGATCAAATCAGTTTTTTTTTTGCTTGTTTGTTAATTTCAGGAGATTGAAGAGATCTGCTCGCCAAGAACGAATTGATGCTTATTCTGCTTTGGTAAGCAAGAGATGGTAATTACGTGTAACATTTTTGTAGTTTTTTTGTTTTTTTTAACTTCAAAATTCTTTAATGTTTGGCTCTTGAAAGTAATTAAAAAAAAGTTATAGAATGAGTTTATAAATTATTGAATTTCTTTTAAAATTAATGTAATATAATAGTTGATTGATATTGATAAGTAATTCTACACTCATTTCAATACCAATTTAACTGTTTTAAAATTCATTTATTCATTGCAGATATAAACTTAACTTTTTTAAAACTCATGCAATGTTTTGATTTAAATTTCCTCCATTGGCTTTCAGATGTTGCTAGAGAGATACTTCTCAACTTCAGGTACTGAAGCTGAATTAGTGCTTCCAAAGCAGTTGCATTTGCAAGAAAAACTCAAGAGGTTCGTATCAAAAAATTTGAATTCTAGCAAGAATTAAACTTTGGCTTAAGAGCTATCAGGGAGTCTATACTAACCTTTAAATGAAGTATTTATTGAATGGTTTCGATGATAAGAAGTTTGTTTGATTTTATTACATAACCGGCCATTTGCAAACTTGTTTCACATTGAAATTCTGTAGATAGATTTTATTGAAAACCTAAGGCTTGTAATAGTAGCTGATTAATTTTGTAGCCCACCTTTATCTAGAGCTTTTGTAAATTTGTGATAATGTGACTTGTGCTGATGCATGAAGTGTATGATTAAGACGATGATTAATTTAAGTACGTGTAATCATTAATTATTGAAGATATTTGTATGTGCTAATAAAAATTTATTTTTGGTTTTTTAAAGATTTTCTCCCGCAAAGCATCAATAGTTCTTAACCATTGTACTTTTTAGTGCCATGGTGTGATCTTTTATCACGAGGTTAATTGCGCATATTGCTCTTTAGGCTTATCTTTTTGAAAAAGAAATTGTTTTGGCCAAGCAAATCTTCTTTTCACACTCAAGCCAAAGATAATGGGCAATGATATATGAATTATTAGAAAATAAGTTTTTTTTAGTAATTTCTTAAAATATGCTTTCAACATGAACTTGAACTTGCAAATGGTAGCTAGATGAAAGTGTCCATCAAGAATACAGTGCTTCAATTGATTTAAAGAATAAATGTGTTTCATCACCCAGATTAAAAAAAAATCAAATCTGATTGAAAATTAGGAGAAATTATTCCATCAGGATATAAAACGAAAATTTGAGTCCGTAGCCCAGTGATCACTTGTAACGTGGCAAGTGGGCCCCACTGCAATACACTGGTTGGGTAGGTTTTTAGAGGGGTGGAGCTGACTTTTCACGTGACAAATGCTTACTGGACTCCGGATGCAAATTTTGTCCGCTGTCTTGATGGAATAATTTTTCGACAATTAGACACTTCTTAATCTGCATATTTTCTTACTTCTATTCTCACAAATCTAAAACTTTTTAGGCTGAAGTTGTATATCTAATGGCACAATCTTTAAACTAGATAAATTCTTACTGACACCTAGAGGCAAAATGAGAAGAATGGTATATTTGCTTCTAAGAGAAATGGTGAAATACCCATCTAGATGCTGTTAATGCTGCATTTCCTAATGTAATAGTCAAAATCTGTTGGATACAATTAGCAAGTTCATCGTGGAATGGAGATGGCTAATTAAAAAGAAATTTTTGATAATATATGTTGCAGGCATACACTTACTTGATGACTATAGGTAAAGTGGAACCACAATACAGCAATAAAATCATGCCTTAAAATTTATTACGTCTTGTGTTTTAGAACCCTAATAGAGTGTTTTCATACATCTATATATATATATATATATATATATATATATATTAACAATTATATTACATGAATAAGCTCGTCAAATTTAAATTTATGTTTTTGATGCTAGTCAAAGTCATGATAATTTCATGTGTGATTCCAATGTTTTTATTTCGTTATTATGATGATTTTACGTATGTGGAAGGTGTTTTGCCTATATTTTATAGGTTCAGGGATTCAAACTGTGAAATTGGACCACATAAGGATCCGACGTACCTACGCCACCCTCAAGCATAATTACGCTGGGCCTTTGTTTGAAGAACCAAAGAGAGAACTGAGTGGGTGGAATAATTATGCTACTTCAAGGTGTAACTACCCTGCCATTTCAAGGCGTAACTATGATACAATCAGGCTTACCTACTCTGGGTTTCGCCTAAAAACCAATTTGGGAAGAATTCAGAGGTAGTTCGGGGCAAAAGCTATTTAAACTGATTTTATGGTTTCATGACGAGAGTTTTAGGACATTGGAGGCTGTTCTTTCTTCTTGTTCTTTAAGGAGCCTTGTAAAACCTAGGGACTTTTCCATTGGTCGCTTTTTGGAGAAGATTCCTAGGGTTATTTTCTTTATAAGTTAACAGAATATAGAGAGTGATTTGTGTAAACTTCTACTAGAGAGATCGATGGAAAGGATTATAGTGTATTACATGGGCCAATTGACTCGAATTTGAATTTTTGTACCTTCTTACATTTTTTCCTTGAAATTTTCATTGAGACTTTATTTTCTTTCCTCATGCATAGTAGCTAAATCTTATTCATGCGTCAGTGATGCAAGGCATGTGATTTGTTTCATTTTTTTTATCTTTGAGCTTTTCCCTAGATGTTTTCTTATGCCTTGAATTTCATATGTTGATGTGTTAACCTTCTGATCGCAATATACTTCTGATTTAGCCAATTAGAAAGTTAAAACCCCTTGTGATATAAAGCTTCTAACAACTGACTAGAAAAATAAGTAGTGTAACACAAATTCATTTAGTGGAATTGACATTTTTCTAACAGGAGAGTACAATTTAGATAGGGAACTAAAGGATTCTTAGGAAGTGTTGTATGGTTTAAGCCCACTTAACTGTAATAAAATTTCCAGTGTTTCTTATGAACTAGACATAGGCTAATGGGGACATGTCACTGCTCGTCAACAATAGTGGGAACTAATAGAAAAAACAATGAGGAATCACTAGACCGGTGTCGTAGGAGTACAAAACTTTCCTTTCAAAAAAACTCAAAAGAAACTTAGTGCAGTTTTCTTTTTTTCTGCATTTGATTTTAAAAGCTTTTATTTCTACAAATTGATCCTTCAAATTAGGCTTAATAGTTTAGTAAATTGGAGCTCCAACAATTAGAAAAATTGACAAGTTTCCTCATGAGATCGATACGTGGACTCATAGTATATTATTTGATCGATATGTATACTTATTAATTGATCATTGTTTCACAGTAATTTTAGATATTAAGTTTTAGGCACCGTTGTCGGAAAAATGAGTCAAAATTTTAAATTTAGGAGAACTTTAGTTGAACTACTCGAGTCTAGGTTTGAAACCTTTCCTATTTCTAATTTTATTTTGTTGTGTTTGTGCTCCATATTTTTTATTTTGTTATTTCCTTTAAAAAAATCAAAAAAAATTGAAAAAAATAATAATAATGGAAAATGCATAACTTGAAAAGCACTTAGAAATGAAAAAAAACATTTAGGAATACCATATAAAATCTCTTTGGGAGTATGCCATCCCATCGATAATAGAATATTACACAAGTCTTAAATACTCTGTCATAGAATTTCTTACATTTGAACTTAACCCTGTGCTGATCTTAATAATTCAAACCAACCAGTTTGGGAGATCACTCATAAAATGCCCACATCTTCACTTGCCTAGTTTCCTAGAATTGTGTGATATACAAGTTTAATGGAATCTCCAAGAATACAGTAAGACTAAGATTATTCCCTTTCTCATTTAAAAAAAAAAACATCAAGATGTGGTTATACTTCTTAAAATTGGGATCAATCTCCACTTAGAATAATTTAGCTCAAACATGTCTGAACAAAATATTTTCTTCTATCCAAAATTGCACACCTTAAGAGAGACATCATATCCTTCACACAGTTACATGGAAAGTACATTTATGAAGCTTTGGAGAGGTTCAATTTTTTCTTAAGAAGTGCCCATACCACACACTACCTGACTGGATGATAATACATAATTTTTATAATGGGCTAGTGAGATCCTTAAGTTCGATCATCTATGTTGTAGCCCGGGGTCCCAAATGTCAAAACTATTTGAGGTGGTGTATAGATCGAATGAGGGAATGACAAGAAGTAATTTTTAATGGCCATCCAAGAGAGTCACCCCTAAGAAGGTATCTAGAGGGCAGAACACTGATGTTTTGACCATCATAGACTCGCATGTTACTTACATTTCAAGGAGAGTGTACAACTTAAGAAAAAATTCTATGTCATGATCCCTACCCAGTGACGACATAACTTGTGACTAGTAGGTCATTCCAGAACCACTTCCCTAAATGCCATCAAAACTAGGTTCAATAACCCTTAGTCCAATGCTTACAGCCCAAGTTGGATGAACTACCCAAACTTCAACTAGAGAAATACTAAACCAAGTGTTGGAACCAATGGTGAGGGAGCACCCAAACCAATCTTGTAGAATATTAGAACAACCAGTGTAATGGCAATCTCAGACAATTTAATTGCTTGGATTAATTTATAATCCCCAATTTAGTGCGAAAAACTTGTCTTTGTAAGAATTGATAGTGGATATGGGAAATTAGTTACAAAGCCAAGTTGTAGCCATGAGAAACCTAAAAAACTAAATTGACCATTTTGTTAAATTCTTAAGTAATGGAGCTTAAGGGATGCTAACTAGTAACACTGAAGTGAATCCCAAGGAAGGAGAAAAGGAGCAAGTGCAAGTATGAGGCCTAGCCGTGATAAGGAGTTGGAAAGTAGCTCTAAGAAAGGCAGTAGCCCTATAGAGTTGAATATTGAGCTCAAAAAACTTAGTCAGAATCCAACTAAAGACTTAGGAAAACCAGAATGATATCCTAGGGAGAAACAAGAGAGATTGATTCTTGCAATTGGTTGGACGAATGGTGAATTGCAAATAGGGGAGTTAACCAATAGATCTTTGGATCTAGAAATCACCATTATGATTTACAATAGTATTCAAGCCCCTACATTTCCCACATAAGAGTGTGATTGAATTGAGAATAGAAAGTAACTTACTCAAGATTTTTTAAAAATTCTAAGGCAAACAAAAGATTGGAAGATCAAGCATGAATTATTGAAATGGAATTTTAAATATTTAAAATAACTTACTCATCTTAATAAGCATCATTTGAAGAGTGGCTGGAGGTTGTAGTCATGATCTCTTCTTCGAACGCTTTACTAGAGTCGTACTTATCATCGAGATTAATTTCTTTGTACTCGCCACTAGAAACCTATAGATTGAGCTCTTCATCAATTGCATCAAGTGGAAAACAAAAACTATCATTTCAGTTTGTTGATGGGCAGGTTGAATGTTTTGTATTATAAATTTTCACTAATCTATCTAAAAAATATCATGATTAGCTATTTCAATGATATTTCAATGTGTGGATAGTTTATTCGTGGATTCGTTAAATTTAGTTGAAGATGATGACACCAACAAGTAAATTGAGAATAACTTCCCCAAGTGCTTTACATCGCATGCAAGTTAAAATTGACAGATTCATTTCTCATATGACACATGAATTTTCATTAACACAATTTTTTATGTATATATTAATAGATTCATGATTGGAGAAATGAAGTGACAGGCCAGGGGTTGATAGATCTTACTTGGGAACCTATGCACATTGTAAAAATCTGACAAATTTATGATGTAAATGGGTTTATGTTTCATACAAGATCCAGGTCTTAAGGAAAAATAACTTGTAATTCCGGCATTTATGTTAAAACAAGCAATAAATCAGACGACAAGATAGACTATCATGGGATTCTCGAAGTTGTTGAACTATCTTATCCAGGATCTATTGGAGGAAGTGTATTCCTATTCAATTGTGCTTAGTTTGATCATGTTCGTAATCATGAAACAATGGTAAATCAACTGTATAATAGCGCAGAAGTGAAAGTGAGATATGCTAAATTTGATCATTTCATTCTAGCTCGACAGACGAGTCAGGTTTTCTATTTTCAATGTCCACATAAAGCAAGAGATAACGTTGACTGAGTGGTTTACATTTCAAGTAAACAAATAACCACCATTAATATTCAAAATAACATTGAACTTGCCCATCAACAAACTGAAATGACATGTTTATGTTTTCCACTTGATGTAATTGATGAAGAGCTCTATATAGAGGTTGTTAGTGGCGAATACAAAGAAATTAATCTCGGTGTTGATTATGACTCCGACGAAGCATTTGAAGAAAAGATCATAACCACATACTTTTTTCTTTTTGGTTTTAGTAGTTGTACCATGCACTTTATAGTTTCTTCTGCTAGTCTACTGCATACTAATGTGTTTTATGTTTTTTTGTGCATTGTTATGTTTTTAGTTTATTACATATTATATTGTTATGTGCACTAATTGGTCAAATTTATTATATTTATTACAAATGTCGATTAGAGGCTGGGACGGTCTCCCTCCTTACGGGGGGAGGTGGGTGAAGCACAGTGTTATATGATAAAGAATCATGTCAGGAGAGACGACTCGACTTCGACAACCACTCTCAGCCCTGCCCTTACATCGACAACCACCCCCACCACCGCCTGATCCCCAACTTCGCCCTTGTCGTGCACTTGCCACCCCGCTCTCACTAGGACCCCTGCACCCGCCCTCATCACCACCCTGCCCCCTCCTCCACCCCCACTCACACTGCTGGCCCAACCCCCATTCATACACTCACTTGTCACGAAAGGAGATCCTGATGCCCATTCAAGATTTCTTTGTTTCAAGAGTTAACGGTATGTAAAGTTCACAAATCTTTTAAGCTATTTTTATTTATTTATCAAACAAACATAATTTCTTTAAATATGTAGAAAAAATTCTTCTCCTAAGAACGAGACACATTCGGTGCAACTTTAAGTGCAAGAGCAGCGATCACTTCTGGGATATGTTTAGTGATATTCAAAATCACGAAAGCTTCCTTTGTGGCTCAGAGCATATGTTTTTACCATGTTGCTTAAGGCCTGGGATTCTCTAGAGTATCAGAAGAAGATGGAGCAAACAAAGTAAACCAGATGGTCGAATTATGGAGGCATGAGGCCATCCAAGAACACTAGTGGGGCACTCCTATTTATAGAATACAAGCGAAGGCTGGTAAGATTTCATTCATTTTTTAAAGTTCTCTATAGTTCGAAGATGTATTCTAATTATTTTGTTATATGGACAAACTGTGGAAAAGAGACGAGAGCCCTCCGCCGTCGATGTACATGAGCGCGCCCATAGTAGATAGTCCGACTAATCCTGGATCGACGACATATTTCGTGCAATCCAGTTAATTCATGAGCTAAACTAGTTTGATGTTAATACATGCTAGCTCTAACTGATTGTAACTTTTTTTTTTGCACGAGAGATTTCAGCAGCTGAAGGAGAGTTAATCCTAAGCATCAAGAGGTATTATGATCCTTGAGTGTGATCCTTCTAATCACAACCTGTGGAGAGAGGCTGTTGGAAGGAAGAAGAA